TATATATATATATATACAGGAAATGCACATGCATACAGATGCATGCATGCATGTATGCATGCATGTATGCATGCATTTTGGGGCTTTGGGGTAACCAGTTGCATGGAGCTGATTGCATTTAAGAGGGGAGAAGAGTTTTTGGTGTTTTGTTTGTTAAGAGGAATAAGTTCCTCTTTGCTAAATAAATAAATAAATTGCCGTAAATATAAACATCTATTATATTGTATGTTCATACTTATACCAGCCCCAAATGGATATCCATGCATGCATATATGTTATGTATTAATTTCTTGTGTTTATTGGTCTCTCGTTAGTCTCTTTTTTTCTTATCATAAAGGGTTTGCAGCTGCATGCATACAAGGAAGCTGCATGCATGCATGACACTACATATGCATGCATGCAGAGTTTCTTGGGGCTTGCTGCTATTTTCTTACAAATAGACTGGTAATTAAATACTGCAGACAACGCCAGCGCAACAATGCATGCAATGCATGCAATGCATGCAATGCATGCAGTGCATGCATTAGGGGTTACTAAGGGTTTGTTGAGTATGTGAGCTAAATAAACCCTAGATATAGCGAACTAAACCCTAGATAGACATTAAACCCTACGTAAACCCTAAACCCTAAACCCTAATGGGGAATTGTTGCAGTATTATTAATCTGTCAAGTTATAAGAACTAAAAGAAAGGGTTTTCCTCCTCTCTATAAGATAGGCATCATTGCCTATCAAAAAATTAGGGTTTAGGGTTTAGGGTTTAGGGTTTAGGGTTTGGCCATTATTATTATTATTATTATTAATATTATTATTATTATTATTATTATTATTATTATTATTAATTAATGGCCATAAGATAGGTAATTGCCAATTATTTTTATATTTTCTTCCTGCCTGTACAAGAGGATCACCCCACATAATTCGTGCCTCTATGAGATCGTCGGAGGAGACGATCCCGTTCCCGATCCCGACCCCACACTCGATCCCACTCCCGATCCCGATCCCAGAATTAGTGTGGGGTCCTCCTCCTCTTGTGGATACGACTCGATGGAGACGATCCCACCATTCATCATCAGGGTGTCTATACACCCCATTTGTTTGTCTTATTTCTCTTTGCCTAATCATCTCCTCATAAGAAAATAAGGAAGGTAATTCAGTACGACCTCTACGTAACTGAGGTAGCAGCACCATTTGCTGCTGCTCCTCCTGCTCCTCCTGCTGCTGCTCCTGCTGCTGCTGTTGTTGCTGTTGCTGCTGCATGCGGTGGCGATCCCTCAGTGTTTGCAGAGTTTGCTGTACACTGGACTGTGGGGTTGATGGTAAGTCAACGAATGGAGCACCACCAGCAGCAGCAGCAGCAGCTGCTGCAGCTGCTGCTGCTGCTGCTGTGTCTTGGGGTCTCCTTGAGTGCTGCTGCTGCGTTTCTTTATCATAATTGTCTCCTTTGCCATCTAAAGAGGGGCCTCTGCATGCATTTGCTGCTACGGCAGCAGCAGCAGCAGCAGCAGCAGCAGCAGCAGCAGTGTCTCCTGTCTCCTGTGTCTTCTTTCCCTCCTTTATTTCTCCTCCTTTATTTACATCGCCATACACCCCAAGAACTTGCCGCAACCGACGGGCAAGACCTCCTCCTCTAGAGAGGCCTTGGGGGGCCCCTGGGGGCCCCCTGGCTTCTTGGGCCCCCCCGGAAACCCCCTCCGGTGCCCCCTCCGGTGCCCCCTTAGGGGCCCCCTGAGGCGACCCTTCAGTGGGCCCCTGAGGGGCCCCCCCATTAAGATAATCGCCTGATGGGGGAGAGTTGTATGTAGGGCCCCATGCATGCGCCGCTGCTTGCATCTGCATGCATGTGTCAATAAAGCCCCAAGTACCCATTGGCTGCCCCACATCCGTCATACTTGATGTCGTTGGGGCCCCTCCCCAGTACCCTTGTGGGCCCCCTAGGGGGCCCCCCGCAAGATGATGCGACGGCGAATATCCAGAAGGAGAGGTAGGGGGCCCCCCATGGGGATTCAATAAGGAAGCAAGGAGTCCTCCTTCACTATTATGGCGGAAGAGAGGAGAGGAGGGCCCCCCACCCGATAGACCCATAGGTAGGTAGGGGCCCCCAGAAGGTGTGGGGGCCCCCCCAGCATATAAATAGGGGCCCCTCCTTGTATAGGAAGAGGGACCTAATATATTATTAAATAAATATATAGGTTGGCATAAATCATTATTAAGGATTAATAATTCATAATAAAAAGAAAAAGGAGACAATTTATTATTTGTCTCCTTATTTATATAAGAAGAATACAAGAGAGATAATATTTTGTCTCTTTTTTTGTCTCCTTTTCTTCTTCCCCCTAATCTATCAATAAATTCATTAAATAATTTTATTGATGAATTTGCTGCATATACATAAACACTATTTATTTATTTATTTATTTATTTATTATTTATTTTATTTATTTATTTATTTATTTATTTATTTATTTATTTATTTATTTATTTATTTATTTATTTATTTAGTGTACAGAGACAAGGAGACAAAGAAAAGGAGACAAAAAAAAAGAGACAAAAGAGACAAAAAGGAAAGAAGACAAAAGAGACAAAGAAAAGGAGACAAAAAAAAGGAGACAAAGAAAAGGAGACAAAAAGGAAAGAAGACAAAAGAGACAAAAAAAAAGGAGACAAAAGAGACAAAAAAAAAGGAAACAAAAGAGACAAGAAAAAAGGAGACAAAAGAGACAAGAAAAAAGGAGACAAAGGAGAAGAAAAAGGAGACAAAAGAGACAAGAAAAAAGGAGACAAAAGGGACAGAAAAAAAGGAGACAAAAGAGACGAATAAAAGGAGACAAAAGAGACAAAAAAAAAGGAGACAAAAGAGACAAAAAAAAAGGAGACAAAAGGGACAGAAAAAAAGGAGACAAAAGAGACAAATAAAAGGGGACAAAAGAGACAAATAAAAGGAGACAAAAGAGACAAAAAAAAAGGAGACAAAAGAGACAAGAAAAAAAGAGGAGAAAAAAGGGAATAAATAACTAACAAGGAGGAATAAATAGTTGTGCTTCCTTAGGAGATAACCAATAAGAATAAGGAGGAGACAATTGTAATAAACGAAGAAAAGGAAGAGAATTATTTCTTGTCTTAATATATAAATGATTATGTAAAAGGAGACACTTTGCGGTGTATAGGGAGGTAGGTGTCTCCTTTTTTTTCTTTTTTTTTTTTTTTTTTTTTTTTTTTTTTTTTTTTA